ATACTGTTTCCAAAACACGAAAACACTGTGAACAGTGATACAAACCAATCCTGTGACTTTTATACAAATACGAATTTGTACAAATTTAAATGGTGCTGTATAAAAATACTGTCTACACTGTTATGTGATACTAAAAGCTTTACAGTCTTACACGCCCAAACTGGTGCCTATACAGACTTCACCCAAAACTATACGCCAGTAATACTTTGTAAGTTAGATAAAATAGATTTGTAAGTTTAATAATTATTATATTACTGCTAAATAAAAAAAGATAAACGGCCATTTGATGAAGTGACCCTTCAGTTTTCAGTGTTGTTCAGCTTAACTGTTGGTTACCAGTGAACATTTTTTATAGCAATAAATTACACTATTCAAGCGTGATGTACTGTATTATAGTATTTTCAGTTTGATACTTTAAGATGTATTTATTTTTGGCAATCACAGCTGCCAGTATTTCACAGTGAACTGGCTGTATTTACAGAAAAATACTTCTATACAGCAATAATGTTTTTACACAGTGTATCTCTGGCAACCACAGCTGCCAGTGGTTTACTGTAAATTCCACTGTACCGCAATACTGCATCTTTAATAAAAATACTGTAAAAAGAAAAAAACAATTTTGCTCTTACCTTTACAGCAAATACCTGTACTTCAAACTACAGTGGTGTATTTATTTTTATAGGACTTTACTGTAAATAAACACAATGTCTTTTACCGCAAAACATACAGGCAGGGAGCGAATCTTACCGTATTGCAATAAATCTTGTGACCATATTTTTACAGTAAAGTTCTGGCAAACAGACCTGCCAGTTTTTTACTGTAAATTTAACAGGGTTTTTTTTTACAATGTTGGTTTGGGATGATTTTTGATGCTGAGGTCAAGATTGAACTCGATTTATGTGTGTTAAAATGTTTGGATTCAGCAAAACTGTAATTACATATTACACAGATTGCTTTGGCTCAGAACAATACACACTGTATTATAACACAGACTGCAAAGCAGCATGTCCACGTGCTACACTGAGCTACAAACAATACAGAAGCCTGATCTGCCTCATATAAAACCCCAAACAAAATAAAATAATCTAATTTGCCTCAAATAAAACATCAAACAAAATAAAAAACACTAATCTGCCTCAAATAAAACATCAAACAAAATAAAGAAATCTAATTTGCCTCAAATAAAACATCAAACAAAAAATCTAAACTGTCTCAAATCAAACATCAAACAAAATAAAAAAATCTAATTTGCCTCAAATAAACATCAAACAAACTAAAAAGAACTGATCTGCCTCAAATAAAACATCAAACAAAAATAAAGAAATCTGATCTGCCTCAAATAAAACATCAAACAAAATAAAAACAATCATCTGCCTCAAATAAAACAGCAAACAAAATAAAAAAATCTAAACTGCCTCAAAACAAACATCAAACAAAATAAAAACACTCATCTGTCTCAAATAAAACATTAAACAAAATAAAAAAATCTAATGTGCCTCAAAACAAACATCAAACAAAATAAAAACACTCATCTGCCTCAAAACAAATATCAAACAAAATAACAAAAAATCTAATGTGCCTCAAAACAAACATCAAACAAAATAAAAACATCCATCTGCCTCAAATAAAACATCAAACAAAATAAAAAAATCTAAACTGCCTCAAATAAAATATCAAACAAAATAACAAAAAATCTAATGT